AATGTATTTCAAAAGACAAGCTTATAAAGTTCAACCAAGTTTTGCACAATTAAAATATGGCAAAAGCTACGACTTAATGTTAATATGTGTGAAAAAGTTTTATGAACATATATTGTACTATATTAAAAAAAAATATTTTTGTTATCTAATAACACTTTTTTACTAATAATTGTTTGATAGAGACTAATGCCCATTTTCACCAATGTAGATTAACTTTAATCTCGGTTCAACTTACTCTTCATGTTTTTCTAGTTCTAAGAACTAGTAAAAGGTGAAGAGTAAGTTGAACCGAGATTAAAGTTAATCTACGTTGGTGGATTCGGGCATAAGAGTATGATTTTATTGATTTATTTTGTGCAAAAGTACAGAGAAGGTTGTAACGTCGACAGATATAATGTATAAATTTGTGATTACTATTTGAAAAATGAAAAGGGCACATTAGCGCCGATGTGCGTGTATGAGAGAATGGAGATGTGATGTAAATAAACCGCGGTAGAGACACATAGAAAAACTATAGAAAATACATATACTGGCAAAAGTCGTTACTTGGAAAAATTTAATATCGAGAATCATCAGCGAACATATGTTTTTAATAGTGCAGGATTTTGATAGTGCAGGAACAGTAATATGAAGCGAAAATTATCAAAAATCGCTTCGACAGATTACGTGTTACAAAGAAAATTTTAGAATAAATTGAAATACAAATATGAATTAAGCCATATTTAACTTACCGTTCACGAAATTTTTCCGACACTTCATTCGTAACGAGCAAACGGTTACTTTTTTTATTTAAGATTTTGTTTGACAGATCATAAAATCTTTTGCATACACTGTTGAGCTGTAATAAAGTATATACATCACATAAATCGAAAATTATTAGGAATATTTCGTTCGGTAAAATATCTACGAGAGACATATTTGTCTTTTTAATTGGACGTTATCACACAAGAATATCAACACTACGGTATGACAATCGGTATGTGCACACCACTAAACGCTACACTAAAACCGAGAACTAGAGTTGCTAGAACGGTAACACCGGTCTGATCACTGACATCTATACTGTAGGCTGCTAATACCAGACTGGCGTCAAATATATAACAACAAACTCTACGTATTAAATTCTCGCGCAAGTCAGAACGCTGATGGACAGCAATCACCTTTTAATTGGTAGATGAATCTAAACGTTATGATTATAATATAATTCGAAATTATAAAGTTTAAAAAAAATATTAAATT